TAGTAAATAGGGCTAGATAGTGTTCTAAACATTCTGAGTTCTTAGAACACAGAAGTAGCAGGTTAGATTGTGTGGATTTAGACTTAGATAAAGTGTGAAGAGAAGGATCAAAAGAATCAGAAGGAATAAGAGAACTATCTACTTTTGTTTTTGACTTTTTTGTCACCTCAGAACTCTTAAACCCTGACTATATACTCTAGGATTTTGTAGAGGCCTAACAGTAAATACAGTACTGAAGGGCTATGACTCAGATTTTTTAACAGCTACTTTTGATTCAATAGACACTGTAGGATTAGAAGTAAATAAAGTAAGAAAAGTAGAAAAAGTAGAAAAAGTAGAAAAAGTAAATTAACAAAATTATTTATTAAAAAGTTCCAGATTTGTAAAAAAGGCTTCTTACTACAAATCCTGTTTGTTACTTGTTATTACTCTAATAACCTAATAGATATACTGTTACTTTTGTAAACAGTTCTTAATTTGATACTCTGACTTTCTGTAGGTAAAGTATGCTCCTTACTTTCAGACTTCTCTAATGTCTATTAGAACAGATTGATTGTGAATTATAGACAGATTAATCTGAGAGCTTAGAACTGTCAGAGCTGGATACATATATAAGTGTTCTGTACAGACTTAACACATTCAAACTGTAGCTTGGTTGAAGGAAATGGCACACATCTTCTACTTAGTATAAGTGACTAGTTCTAACATTATCCTAAGAATCTTATTAACCAGTTCTGAGTAAAGAGCTTTTTCAAGTATTCTAATAAGAACATTATTAAACCTGAGTATGAATCCTACCTTCTAGGCCAGGATATCAAACTCCTGGAAGAAGGTATTGACAGAATGTTTACCCTGTCATAGAGACACAAGCTTGTTCTACACATTATACTTCTTATTCAGATTAATAAAGGAAGTACAGAGCTGTCCTATAAATTCTGAATATGACTCATTATTCTGAAGTTGGATCAGGCTTCCAATCTGATAGCCTTTAATCCAGTTCTGGGCCCAGGTGGCTGTGTTACCTTCCTTTATAAAGGAGAGGACAAATAGAATGTGATTGAGATTTAAGGATAGATTAGTTAAAGTAGTAGTTATATATAGTTTGACTTAGTACTAGAAGTCCTTAAAGTGCTACCTATTAAAGTCTGAAGGGCAGGCTATATACACTTTCTTTCTAGAACAGGTTGTGACTTCTAGAACAATCAGAACAGGTTCTGAGGGGGTTAGGAGTATGTAGTTAGTAAAGGCCTCTTAGATAAAGGTCTGTATGTATTAAGCTAGGTCTACTTGTAACTACTAATCTGGTAGGACAGTAGGGGTAGCAGTTAGTATAGGAGGGTCTATGTTTATACTACAAAGGAATTGACACTAAACTAAAAGGAGTAATGAATAGAAGAAGGGTGGTAAAAGTTTAAAAGGGTTTAGAAAGTTTAAAATTTAAAAATGTAAAAGGGTTAGGACAAAGAAAAGAGATTGATACAATAGTGAGTACTAATGCCCAAAATGTAGAAGAGTTATAGAGTAGTAATGAGTAGTCTTGATCTGATGTTAGTAACAGTATAGAGGGGACCTGAAGGCTCAGTAAGGGGACTTAGGCTACAACTATCCTACACAACAGAAATACAGAATACAAGTACTAAAACATAGTCAGAACTTGTAGAACAAATAGAGAGAGAGAGAGTGAGACAAGAGTAGAGTATATAGAGTAAGCCTAAGAGTACAGGACTATTTAGAGTAGACAAGATCAAGACTACAGGACTAGTCTAATCTTGTACACTTATATATACTAAACTACACAAGAGTACTTAGAGAGTATAAGCTACTAAGAATGATAAGTCATAAAGAATGAAAGAAAGGAAGGTCAAAGATAAAGGTACAAAGAATGAAGGGATGGACAAAGGGTAAGAGACTATAGAATGAACAAAGAATGAAAGAGTGGTTAAAGGAACAGAATGATGAAGTAAGGAGGGGTAGTAGTAAGAGTCAGTACACATATAGTTTATAGACAGTACTCCTAAGGGATAGAAGTCCTAAGTTCTAGTACAGAAGGGTGTAGAACCTTTAGAACTAAAGGTACAAGAGTAGAGAACTATAACACAGAAACTGTTATAAGCTGTAGGGTAGGCTTACATAATTGTACATACTACCTTGTATCTCTGTAGCTCTCTCCTACACTCAATACTAAGACAATCTCTATAAAACTTTGTAAAATAATAGATGAGATGTTAAGAATTATGAAAATCTAATAATAATGTTAGTTTTTCACAAAACTGACAGAGATATAAAGAAAATAAAATAGGTCCAATCCTACAATCCTAACAAGTACAGAATTAATACATTCTTAGACTGTTCAATATAGTCTTTATTACTATGTCTGAGTTGTTACTCAGTCTTTACAAGTTAAAATGTGTATATGTATAAGTTGTAAGATTAAGTAGATTATAGAGATTGAGACTGTGCCTGTAAGATAGGTTTAGAGTAATTAGTAAGAGACAATAAGAAAGAAAAGATAGACACACTATAATAGGTGTAGTGAGTGTGAGTAGTATATACAAGTTGAGATTCAGAGTGTTAAACAAGCTGATTTAGACTGTAGACAAAACTGTATTTGTATACATATACTCTATAGTTTATCTACAGTATTTAATAAGAGGCACAGTAAACTGAGTCATTAATTGTATAGTGTATCTCTAGAATGTCCTAGCTTGAAAGGTAAAGGTGAAGTAGAAGGTAGACAGACTCAGCTCAGGAGGAGAGTAGTAAGTCACTACTTCTGTTTAAAATAGTATTATATATAGTATTAGAGAAAGTAAACACACACAGTATAGACTCATTAAGAGTGATACTAAGTATAGAACAGGTAGGAAAGAACATGTATGTTAGAGTAGAGAGAGGATTGTGTCTTGAGAGTAGTTACCCATAGTATTGTTACAAGTGTGTACTTGTTAATTGTTACTTACACTATAGAGTAGAGAGAAGTATACAAATTATTAGCAAAGTTGTTTAGTATTAGTCAAAAATACAGATGTGTAAATGTAAATGTAAAAAGAAGGCAAGTGTAATAAAAAGGAGGATAACAAAGGAGATACAATGTAAGAGGCAGAGTAAGGAGTAGGAGGTATAAAAGGAAGACAAGAAGTTAGGAGGAGAGGGATGAGTAACTATTGTACAAGTTATTATAGAGTAAACTGGCTACTTACACTTTATACTAAAGGACTGTGTAGCTAGCCAGGTTGTGTTGTTACAGGATCTAAGGTTCTGTAGAATACTTGTAGGTAGAGGACTAGACTAGAGAGAACAAAAGAGACAACATAGTGTTAGGGAAAATGAATAGGGAGATAGTAGTAGTAGGAGGGAAAGGAGTAACAAGTGCAAGTGTATCATTATGTACTCTCAATCTTCAGTATTCGATTACATAATCACTTTGATATATAGTTTAAAAGTAAAACCAGATTATAGTATAAGTCTAACAGAGTAATTGTTAACAATATTAATATATATAATTGCATATTACCTTACCAAAAGTACTATAATTAACTTACAAGTATAATGTATCACTTTTATAAGTATTATAATTAACCAACTACTGTTGTATATTAATTTATATACAATTTTAACATATTATAATAAAAGTTAAGTACTTGTGTCTCACATATAATATTGTAATAATAATGGAATTAACTTCACTTGCTTTAAAAAACACTTGTAGTATAATACAATTCTTGTATAATCATTACATTTATATACAATTGTTATTTTAGATTGTAATAGATATATAACTACATTATTAAATTACATTTACTATTATTAATTACATTTGTTGTGACTTTTTCATGATAGGATTGTACAATACTTTAATAGTACATTAATGTAAATTAGTAACAAACACAGTATTAGTACATGTTATTTGGAAAGTAGATATATGAAAGCACAATTACTTTAGCTGAAACAGAGGTTGAGAAGAACAGGTGCACTCTATACTCTACAAATCTTCTTCAGTGTCTTCTCTAACACTCAGTCATCATCCACAATCCTGATCTTCAAGTCTGTCTCACATTAACTATCTGTCAGTTCACAATTCAGTCTGACAGTTGGATAACAAGCTTCCCTAGACCTTCCACCCCAATTGAAGTTGACTAACATCATTTTGTCATTGTTGCAGATAATGTTTGTGTCATGTAGATCACCATGAACTAAGTTGCTTTTGTGAAACAAGTTCACAAGATTCTACAGTTTACTTGCCCACTACTCTCAATAATTAGACAGCTCTTGTGTACAGAGAATTAGTACAGCCTTTGGGTAAAAATCCATTACAACTATACACCAGCCACCAGGGAGATTGGCAAAACCATGTATTTTTGGTGTGTGACTACAGTCAGCACAAAATTTGTACAATTCAAGTAAGTACCACTGTACAAACTTCACAATGATCTCCTCCTTGTTGTCTGTCTCAGTAATGTACAAGAGCTAGTAGTCTTGTTAATCATCATACTGTTTGGTAATGCAGAAATTAAACTTAGTGTTGGTACAGTCATTGTACTTCAGCAGCAAGTGAATGTAGGGGAAAAAGATATCTGTGTGTTGATTTGCAAGCACTTCTCTATCAAGGTGTTTGATGTCTTCTTTTATTTGACCCACTAGGACAGACACTACAGTGAATACTGTATACAGGTCCTTTCTGTCATGACCATTACAAGCAGATCAAACACACAATAGTGTAGGGGTGAGATTAACAACTTGAAACATGCTACTAAGGAAAATCACTGTATAGAATGTAATATAAGGACCTGAAATATTTTGTTTCATTAACTGTGTGTCCTAACAAAAGCATAACAGGCTCACCAGCAATAGTTAGACCAAGAGATGGTACCCTTGATCTGCTAATTAAGTCTTGCCAACGTTTGTCTTGTTCCATCACTGTTTTCAATTGAAGTGCTATATAGTCAGTTCCCTGAACATGTGGATCTGTCTTGCTTGCACAAAAGTGGTTTTTGATCACCTCAACAAATAACATTATTTCGTGCTCTCCCCGAATGTCGCCATCCAAGCGTCTATCACTGGTTGAGTGTCTTTCACCAATATCAGATGCTGCCACTCTTACAGGACCTGCAAAGGTAGGCAGGATTCTGTTAAGAATAGGAATAGCTGCATCCCTCCTAAGATTCTCGTGATCATAGAAACAAGTCATCTCGTCTGCGAATTCGTCAACAGCTGTCTCAAAGCATGCAGCATCTTCCCTCGACAAGGTTGGGGCCTCTTTATCACCCTGATAGATATCTATGAAACGTCCAAATCCAGCATATAGTAATGCAATAGGAGGCACATCGGTATCTGGGCAGGGTCTGTCATCCAAGATCCTCTGATCAGTCTCTTGATTTTTTTTGTATACCGATGGTGTAGCAAACGTCGATGGTGCCATGGTAGCGAATTTGGAGCGCTTCAAAGTTTTGAATGCGCTTTCTGCGCTAGGACGTGAGCGTTTGGCCGGAACAACTGCACATGTAGATTAGTCAAACTTGCGAGGAACCAGCTAATCTAGTAGATGGAAATGGATGGCTCACCGGACTCCTGCACAACAAACACCAGATGGACCGTGTCCATGTCCATTTCGCCTTCCGTGATAATGCCCTGAACTGTCGCCCCTCCACCAAGACGTCTCCAATTGCTATAATTGCCCTCCACGTATTCAAACATCTGTTCGTCTGATTCCTCGATTTTGAAGTCTAAAGGCTGTGATAATGTCAATGTAGTAGACTGTCAGCCACATAACGAATGTAGCCTACTGCATATGGGATGAGGTCACGCATGGAAATCCTATTGCGTTCGAGTGTATCCTCCTTTGTGTAGATGGATCCTCGAACATGCATTATGCGATGTGTACGCTCCACATTAACTGTACCGAGTCCATATCCAGAGTAGTGAATAAAATAGTTCAGATCCAAGCTCATTGAGCAGAAAGAGGTTTATCACGTGTATCACTGAAGGTGAGATTTGTCATTTGTGATGCCTTGCTTACGTCATTACATTTTCTCACACATCACGTGCCAGTTACACACGAAGAAGCTACTTTTGCCCCTAGTTTACCATTCTTTTTCTGGTATTTCCGCAAGATAACAGATATTGAACTACAGCCTGTACAAGAATGCAGGATAGAGGGATTGATGCAAAGTGAGTAACAATCGGCAGTCTATTGACAACAGTGCATTGTTTGAGACACTCTCTGGTCAGTCAAGTGTTACTTGAGTATTACTCGACTACTGTGTGTCTGCGGAAATGATTATTCGTGAGAAGGGCGCGAGTTCTGTTGACAAAGTATAATTGTGAGATATGCACAATAAGATGCATATCGCATCGATAACTAGGATAGGTATTCTAATTTAGTACGCTTTTGGACTCGACTTGGAATAAGGACTGTGCAAGTCTCCATCACGATCAACCCTGCCAAGTTCCTGTATTAAAATTCAGAAGTGTATACCTCAGTCAGTCATAATTTCAACGATAGGTTGGAGGAAAAGAAACGAACGTTGATTCCATCACTCTCAAGGAATGTCTCCGTGTCTACTTTTATCGTAACTACGCGCGAAGCAGTCGGCTATAGTCGAGGCAATGTTTGGGAACCGGAACGTAACAAATGTGCATCCGAGAACCACATGGCTATGAGAGAAAATAGAAAGTGGATAAACAGAATCACACTTACACGAATGTGCGAAGAAACATCCGTCCTGTTATTCCGCATATCGTACAAATTATATTTCAATCCCGAGCCTTCATTACTCTTATCCCGTGGCACTGAGCGCGAATTCAAGCTGAAAAACAAAGTAAGAAGCTCGTGTGGCTAGATAGGTATCGGACAACGCGTACGACGCCAACACGGTATTCATATATACTACTCGCAGTTGTTAGACAGTTGGACCAGGACTCGAGAAATTGATAGACGACGTACATCGAGTTAGTAGGAAGGAAAACAACAGATACACAAAGGTATTAGGTGATGCATAACCGGTAACCAAACACACGATGGCACAGATCGCCGTCACGGCACCCGTGTTCAGCCCGAAAGCCATGAACTTATTTGCAATGCTGTCGTTCTGCTTGAAACCTGTCCTCGTCGTTTGGAAAAGATAAACGAGTGTTCCCGCGATGGCAGAGTTAACGACCGCCGTAATAATTTGGTCCACATGCATGAGAGTCGAGTTCAAGCGCAGGCTGTCGAACGTAGTAGAGGAGTGGCACTTGGCATAGTAGGCAATCGTACAAGCAAGCTGGCCAAGGGCGAGGACAATCATCACGGCCGTCAAGATGAGATTCTTGCTCACTGGGTACGACATTAATCCTCAGACGAAGTAGGACTTGGAATGAGAGCATACGACAATATATCCGATCAACAAATACTGATTGAGCGAGGATGGCAATGACTGCCGTAAGGATGATAGTATTCCGTAACGTGCTAAGTTTCAAACACGGGTTAAACTATATTTCCATTCAAAGATGGATCACCTTTGATAACTCACGGTTCAAGTACTGCGAGCTGACCTGCGACTGCGTAATGCGTTATTGCATATTTGTACGTCGAACAGAGGATGAACGCTTGGTGCACCGTGTTGAGTGCCCAAAGCGAAAACACCTGGAACCTCAGATAGTACGAATCATGACCACCGAATGTCTACAAATCGACAGAATTTAGTGTATCCATAGAGGTATATTATAATTGAGTGAGAAAGCTTACGTCAAAGAAATAATAGGTCTGCACGCTTCCGATACCATATAGACTTATGCACAAGGTTAATCGTAGGTACTTAGGTAGATAAGGTGAGGAATATACCCCATAGATAAACTAGGAGGGGCGAGTAACTCAGTAACTATACAAATGAAAAGATACGGAAGCTACATACACCGATCCGATCATCAAACACCCGAGCTATTGACATGGAAGATTAGTTGCCAGTCCAAGGAATGAGACTCGACAGAACGTTCGTACAGTGTCATGTACAGGGCCGACTGTCGTTGTACCACTCATGCTGTGCTACAAATTCTGCTTCCACCGACGGACAGGAGTCGAAGACAGATGGGGGGATAAGAAAGAAGAGGCAAAAAGAGTTTGAAACAGATCTTGCATGGCACTTATGTATCCGGCGGCCCGTAGTGCTATGTAAGATGAGGCTAAATGCAAGTCAGCGAAACAGAGTCACAGATAGACAGACAGAAACCAACATTTCAGGGTTCCTGAGCATTTTTTCCATTCGAAACGCGGAATTCGCTTGAGCTGGTGAACTTTTTTGCGGCGGTAGCCAGCCGAGCGACTTATACCGATCTCCACGTGTCGCAGGTAATTCCCACGACTACAATTTGCCCTAATTTGCTCTTTTTTCACTTTAATGCTTGGTATTTTCTAATAATCGACTACATAGAGGCAATTAGAGAAAGGGTTGACTTGGTGATCGGAAACGCGATCTCCACGGGTCCGACGGCGTTGCTATTCAGTTTTTTGTCGGATGGCCACTCACTTCCGAGGCATCTGATCCACACTGGTACCGTCGTTTTACCACGATGCTCGCAGCTATGAAATGAGCGGAGCAGACATGGATCATATCGCCGTCGAAAATCGCTCATGAAGAATTGTTCCTCCCGGAGAACGTGCACGATCATGATTAATTCAGCAATAGTGCTCAGACCACGAAAACTATATGCAACAGTGTAAGTGCCTACAGATAATTATCACCTTTTTTAATCCAGGCTTCCATGACATTCCTGCCTGATAAAAACTTCGTTCAGACTCGATAGATACCTTTGCTGCATGACCGTTCCTTGGACACGTTTCGTTTCATAGCGAGGGCACTTAAGGAGCACATTTTTAACAGCTATGGCGTGAGCTTGTTTATCTATTGACCATTGCTAATTTTATCATTGCGTGCGAATGATGAGGTACTTTTACCTTCGTACACTACCCATGACTAATGCCAATTTGTCTAGCTCTCGTTATCGCGACCGCCATAGAATAACTCGTCCAGCATGCCAGTCAAGTCCTTCAAGCTCTCAGACGGTAGGAAGATACCCTGGATCGCATTCGGAACAGGAACTGCACTGTACAAAAAGGACTGTGCCAATGCCTGTAAACTTGCACTATCCGTAGGATTCACACACCTCGACGCTGCGCAAATGTACGAAAACGAGGAAGGTGTAGGCGCTGCGATCGCATCGAACATAGTCTCGCGTGATTCATTGTACATCACAACAAAACTTCAAGCCATCCCAGCAGGGCAGACCGTGGAGCAAACGCTCAATGAGAGTCTGAAGAAACTTCAAACGTCTTACGTGGATTTGTTCCTCGTGCATGTTCCTACCCAGCACACGAGTCGAGAGGGCGGACTACAGCAAGTCTGGCGAGAAATGGTAGACGTCAAGGATAAAGGCCTTACGCGTAGTATCGGAGTCAGCAACTTCAATAAGGCGTATCTCAAAGAGGTTATCGACGTTGGGCTAGACAAACCTGCAGTGAATCAAGTTCGTAATCTATTTGTCTATTTGCTACACAGTTCTAAATTATTTTGAAATAGATCGAATATCATCCACTCGTTGCTAACCGCCTTGCTCCCCTCCTGGAATACTCTAAGGAACAAGGAATCATCACCGCCTCTTATGGGTCACTTTCTCCCATCCTCCCCTCGCGTACTACCAATGAGTCTCTCAAACCCGTCTTGTCAAAGTTCACCTCCGCACTAGACAAGATTGCTCAATCACGCGGTCCAACTGTAACACAGAGTCAGATCCTCTTCAAATGGCTCGAAGCACAGCAGGTCGTCGCAGTCACCACCTCTAGCAAGGAGTCTCGCTTGAAAGAATACTTACAGGCAGATGAATTAGCGGATCTTAGTGAAGAAGACAAGAAGGTGATCAGTGACGCAGTCGGTGACGCGCATTTCCGCGCATTCGTAAGTTGCCTTTATTAATCTATGAGGAATGTGCTCGAATTGATGATCTCACCCTCAGTCGGCGTTCTCTCACATGGATGATAATTAGGTGACCCGGGACGACTATAAACGGCATGACCTGGCCTGCGATAGAGACAGAAGATGTACGAACAAAAAATCAATTGTATCTTGATAATATATGTACAGTAAAGGGAAGGGAATCCAAATTGTGAAGCTAGGCAATGAACGATGAACACAGGAACACACATGCGCTGTATGTGCATGGAAGTAAAGTCATGACCACATGCGGGGACACATTCATTGGACTTCCTCGGAACAGGTTAAGGAACTGCTGCACTTCTCCTGTTATTTTCTTCTTGTCTCTTAGAAATGCATATGGATGACGCCTGCTTGGTTTCATACTTATATTCCGCAAGCTATCTATACAACTATAATTGTTATTTAATGAAATATCGATCTGGTCGAGTTGCTGATTCTTCAGAGTATTTATCTCGCTAAGTCGAACCCTTGCACGACTGGAGCCCAATCTTTTCGAACACATAAAATAGTAAACGCTATACATCAGGTTGGTAAACAAGCTCTCTTCCATACTCGTCGAGCATAATCGAGAGCATAATGGTACTTGACAGGACACACGTTAATCAACATATTGAGAAAGTAATCTCGACGAGCCAATATATTAATACATACCGACTTCTCAGCAGTTGAAACCCATTCTGAGGATTCGCGCCTTTGTACGTCCTTGATCGTCTTGGTCACATAGAGAGGATAGAACCTGCCCGTTGGTTGATTTCCGGCTTCATACGTACTGGAGCAACCAGAGATCTCCCATCCTGCTGAGAGTTTTGCAGGAGTACTTATGGCAGAGTCTGGACGAATGGGACCATCCTCAAGAAAAGCGAAAGAGACTTCTTCCTGTTCTGAAAAATCCATAATCTATCAGTCAGTCCCTTCAAGAGGAATAGAAAGAGAGGACATGCATACTTTCATGAGAATGGTACATGATGTACGATGGGGTAATGTCTACACAGGATACGATTTCCTTATTCTTCAGAAGAGAAGCACAAGCAGGGTTTGTCGAAAGCAAATAAAGCAGATTGTCAGGCAAGCGCTGCGTCCTCGGCCGATGGATGATAAGGGCAGCTCCGCCTTTCGTATTGAACTTTACTTGGACCTTAGTGGCCACGCGTGCAAGAGCAACTGTGTCTCTGAAAACAACAAGCTATACAGATGCATGTCAGGTAGGGAATGGGGGTCGGCATTTCTAAGGTAAGACGCGGCCGTTCCCACGGTAGATGCTGTGATGGCGGCACGCAATTTGTATGTTGAGAGTTTTCTTGTGGTTTTATACATGTATCTCCTCCCTCAATACATTATAAAAAAATAAATAAAAATCTTTAAAATTAATAAAACATGAATATCTAAAAGTTTGTGTGAGGAAATTTAAATAACTAGAAAATTGAGTGAGATACTGTAGGTACAGCACTTGTATCTCAGTAAATACTTAGAATTAAGGAAATTCCTCACACAAATCTTTAGATATTCATGTTTAAGGACTTATTATGACAAAAAAAAAAATTATTAATTACAAATTACAAGAAGAGAGATAAATATACAATACTACTTACTAAAAAATAAGAAAAAATGACACACATGACTGTATATAG